GGGGGACCCCTGCGGATGACAGGTTGTTCGCCCCCGCTGCTGCCTCAGGATCACCCAACCGCCAGTCCTAGTTAATCCTCAGTGGAGACACGTGCTAAAACAGCCAACTCTGGGGAATGGACTCGAGCCAACACGGCAGACGGGTCTGAACTCGAGACCTAGCAGGAGGGTCGACCCTCAGTAGAAACAAGGGCTGGGCTTTAGGAGTTTACCGCTGTGTGTGAGCAGCTTCGCATTCGGTTGAATTTTTGCTTGTGATGCCTGTTCTTTTCATTATCTGAATTAAAAATGAAACTTTATAGCACTTTTCATAATGATGTTGTAAAATACTTCGATTTCTAAACTTCTAGGTAAAAAATCCATTCATTAGGAAGGGCATATAAACACCACACAGGCCACGTCCAGCAGGTTCTCAGTTTAGGGCAGCAGCTAGCAAACAAAAAAAATAAGTTCACCTTAATTAGGGAATAAAAAAAATACTGTGGCTGTTGCTCACAATAAGAAAATGTTTTTCCTTCTGGCCACTGTTAAAAACTCCTCCAGTGTAAGGAGAGACTTGCTACATAATCCCCTCAGAAAAACCTAAAGCTATCTGACCACATCAACACATGCAGTCCCAGTGACAGTGACTGATCATCATGTGAAAAGCAAATCTTTAAATTACTGTTTTAGGACTAAATAACCACTAGGTGCATGTTAAAGGATAAAATAGTTTATTTTATAGTCTCATAGTAAAGGTAGGCCTCAACTTGCAAGACAATTGTTGGCAGTATGTACAACATACTTGTAATTTCCATGGAATGGAATCGGACAAAGTCCTATTACACTAATTATACCCTCCTAAATGGAAATAAAATGGAAACAATATGCATACACACATTTCCTAGACAAGCAAAACGCTTCCTTTTTCCCTTGGGGGATTCAGCAACATTGATTTCTACTGTGTAAAGCACAGCACATTGAAAACACACCGACAAGGACGTCGCTTCCTTGTACTGCAGAGGACGGGAGCTACCTGTTGACATTCAACACCTATTTCATACCCTTAAGGAAAACTACAAGTGATAAATTGGCATTTTCCCATGATTTGTGAGATTACTACAAAATGCTTAACATACTTTTTGAACTTGAAAACATCCAATCAGTGCTTTTTATAATATACAAAACAAGATGCCTAACGTATTCAGCCACCTAAAGTCATTCACTACTTCAAGCTAAAGGACAAAATACGACAAGTTTAGGAATATTCTCCTTGAAAACATCAATTTCAACAAAGGAGTCGTGTTTTTTTTTTTTCTCGTGTGTTAAACGCATCGGGCAGAAAACATCTGCGATCCAGTGGGCCTGAGGTGGGTGTCACTTTAACACTTCCTTCAAAGCATCTTCACATTCTTTAGTGGAAAAAGTAAGCTACAAATGGTTTGTTTTAAAAAGGTAAACTTTGAGACAATTTATCTAGGTGTGTGTGTAAATTCTAAACAGGTTTTTATCAAGAAAAAATATAATATAGCAGTGCTAGGAGGGTTACACCTGGAGCGCACCACCCAGGGAGGAAGAGGAGCTTCACTGAGGGTACAAAAAAAAAAAAAGCATCAAGTCCTTGCGTAGCCGAGCTGCCTCTGTTTGGATTTTGGATTGTTGACGTTGCTAGGGGAGAAATACTAATGAACCAAAGAAGAGAGAGGGATGGAAAGGGTTAAAAAAAAAACCCTCAAGCTCTCTGCTGACGTTCTCCTTCCTGTTCCTGGAGATCGGGTGGAGACAAACGATTGTGGCAGCAGTGTGAGGGGTCTTTGAGTCTCCAGTGCAAACCCACCCAGAGATTGAGGAGAGAGAATGAGGAGGACGGTGAGGGATGCCAGGGTGGCAGTGGGCGGGGGGGTCTATGAGACTTAAGAGCTTTGAAGGCTGGTCTGCTCCTCCCTCATGCCCCGCCACCTCCACCTTGGGCAGGTTTTAGCTGCTCGGCTCTCTAGCTGGCCTCCACTCGCAACTTCTTCCTGTTGGGCGGCTCCTCAGTGTCCGACTCTGAGCTGGAGTCGGAGCCTCCGTCGAACGCCGACACAGCGCTGCCTCAGGCTGCTGTCAGACGATGAGTAGCCGGCCTGGAGCTGGGCTGAGCCCTTCACCTTCTCCAGAGCACGAACTGTGAGTGGACACGAGAAACATGGCAGAAGGAGGAGGTGAGGAGGAGAAACAACAGGGTTTCAAAATGATAAAGACTACGTCCAGACCTGGGGGTTATTAAATCAAACACTGATATCTGAATCAAGACAATGCTTGTTATTGTAAT